TAGTTAGAGCTCATATTTTGAAGGCAGATAGACCTAGGTTCACATCTTTATTCTTAAAAAAGGAAGAGTCAAATGAGGCCAATTTTTCTGTAGAAATGATTGGTCCCTTCTCCATCTGTAATTTCTACCACTGGGTCAAATTCAGAATTAATTGCTGGCTTCTCTTAGTGCTTCTGAAATTGAAGGGCTGGGCATTTTGACATTGTGTCAACTGCTATTTTCATTTATGCTAAAGAAAAATATGTTTCTTTAGTCAGTAGTGATTTCTTTAAAGAAATTATCATGCTTACAGTGTTTCTGTACACAACAGATTTTTATGTAGTTCATATATATTTTCTATGTCAAACTGTGCTTCCTTTATGTCAAATGAGCAGGGCAAGATTAAAGTGCTGGCTCTTGAAGGGATGAACTCTTGGGCTGATAGATCATGAAAATATGCACTGCCCCTAAAATTATATGCTCTTCATCTAATGGTTTTTAAGTAAATGCTTACTTCCAAATAATAGGATCATCAATATGACATAATGCAATAATGACTTGTACATAGTAGTAACCATATGCACACATAAATACACACATAATTTATAACTCACAATAACCCTATGAGGAAAGTATTATTATTACCATTTTACAGACACATTAACTTGACCAAGTCACACAGCTAGACAGTGGTAGGGATAGCATTACAAATCAGAGATAAAAGGAAGACTTATTCAACTGTTGGTGTTCTACATGGAAAAAATATAGATCTCTACCTTAATAAGGCCCAGCTAGATTAAGATATATATGTAAAATATAGAATTTTACACATTAGAAGAAAATATAGAAATAAATTCATAATACTGGTGGTAAGGAAGATTTTCTTTTATAAAAATCAAAAAGAAAAATGATCAAAACACATTTGATAAATTTTACATCAAAATTAAGTATATAGTCAATAAAAACACATAATCAACATTGAAGTAAGAGACACAAAAGACAGGTAACCAAATTCATACACAGAATATTTTTGAAACCTTAAAAAGTCTGCTGGAAAATGAAGAATAAGCCCACAGAAAATGGACAAAGAATATGAACAGATAATAATCATAAGAGGAAACCCAAATAGACTAACAAAATACTCAGCTATTTGAAAAATGAAAATTCGAACAAGAATCAGCATCAAATTATCAAGAATGGTGATGTGCTAGCAAGGATGCAGGGAAATGGGAACACTATACATTGCTGTAGAAATAAACTGGAACAAGCATTTTGGATATTGCAATAAAACATTAAAATGCTATTCTAAATATAGGCATATATCCTGGAATGGTTCTTGCATTTATGCTCAAGGAAACTGTAGAAAGCTATTCATGTGTATTAGAAAGCATAATAGAATTTATGACAGCATAATACAAAGGAAAAAGAAAGCCACCTAAATATTCATCAGAAATGAATAAATACCATGACTAATATTCATAAAATAGAATCCTATATAAGTTAAGAGAAATAATCTATTTTTATACATTTTATAAGTGACCTTTATTTTATACATATGTATATAATATTTATCTTTATACATATTTTTATACATACATATATATATATCATACCTGTCTCAACATGGAAAGATTTCAAAACCTACTCCTCTGTGAAAAAAATAATTCATAGGTCAATATTGACTTTATATTTTTTGGATATACTTTCTTTAAAAAGATATAAATGCAAAACTTTATTTTTTGATAGCTATAAAAACAAAAATTGTATTAATTAGAAAGTTAACTTTAAAATATTTGAATTAATTAAGGTAATTGGGGCAAAATATAGAAGACTAAACATTGGATTAATTAGCATAATTTGGGAAATACAGGTATAACAAAGGATTAATTAAAGTCAAGCAACATATCTACAAAAACAAAACATTAATTAGGTAATTAATTTGAATGACTAATTAGATTAACAAAATAAAATTTCAGTGGCTTAACGCAATAATTTTTATTTCTTGCTCATATGACAGTCCAGTGCACATTTTCTTGCCATCATATATTCCTTCATGAAGTGATTTAGGGATTCAGACCCCTGCAATTTTTAAAGTCTGACATCCAAAAAAAAAATGAACATCTTTTAGGACCTTGCCAACAGAGGGGAAAAGAGATGTAGAGTGAGCACATCTGCTTCTTAAAAGTTTTGGTAAGAAGTGACTTCCATCATTCCATTGAGGAGAAACAGTCACAAGGCTACTCCTAGAGAGACGAAGAGTTTGGACATGGAGCCACTGCTGGACAGGCCCTTCCACGGTGGCTCTAAGCTGGGAGAAGGAAAGCGAGAGTGTCAGCAAACAGCTGGCCATATGTAAGTCTCCACATTTAGTGTTCTCCTATAAACAGAAGTGCATCAGAAAGTAGGAGAGGAGAAGGGGAAAGAAGGCTTCATCTTAATCTGTATCATTTTGTAGAAAAAAAATTGATGTATATCAAATGTAGATGGAGGAACAGCTCCAGGAGCTATCACCGTAGACGGCTTTGCTATAACGTTAACTAGGTGTGGTAGAGAGGGAGGGATGTGGCTGAGTCTGTTAGAATTCCTCTTTGTGCCCCATTGGTTCTGTGTGGCCCATCAAGTATTTTGTTTATCAAACATTTAATCTTTTCATATTCCTTTGAGTTGCTTTCCTTTTCCTTTGAAGTGTCAGGTCCTACCGGCTGGTTCAGGATGAAGTAATATCTCCTTCTCCCTCACTGTCTTTGGAACCAATGTCCATAAGTAATTAAACTTTGTTGTTTTTTACTGTTAGTCTATCTCATGTGTCAATTTGATTCTTAGACCAGCTAGAAGAACCTTGAAGGGGTAGAGGAAATTTCCTCCTCCCCAGCAACATTAAAAAAATTAGCTGTACGGGGCTTCCCAGGTTTACCTTCTAACCTTTTTCTCCAATCCTCTTCCTGGACCTCATGAACTTATTCTTGTCTCTCCTCATTATGTATATAATATTTATCTTTATACATATTTTTATACATACATATATATATATCATACCTGTCTCAACATGGAAAGATTTCAAAACCTACTCCTCTGTGAAAAAAATAATTCATAGGTCAATATTGACTTTATATTTTTTGGATATACTTTCTTTAAAAAGATATAAATGCAAAACTTTATTTTTTGATAGCTATAAAAACAAAAATTGTATTAATTAGAAAGTTAACTTTAAAATATTTGAATTAATTAAGGTAATTGGGGCAAAATATAGAAGACTAAACATTGGATTAATTAGCATAATTTGGGAAATACAGGTATAACAAAGGATTAATTAAAGTCAAGCAACATATCTACAAAAACAAAACATTAATTAGGTAATTAATTTGAATGACTAATTAGATTAACAAAATAAAATTTCAGTGGCTTAACGCAATAATTTTTATTTCTTGCTCATATGACAGTCCAGTGCACATTTTCTTGCCATCATATATTCCTTCATGAAGTGATTTAGGGATTCAGACCCCTGCAATTTTTAAAGTCTGACATCCAAAAAAAAAATGAACATCTTTTAGGACCTTGCCAACAGAGGGGAAAAGAGATGTAGAGTGAGCACATCTGCTTCTTAAAAGTTTTGGTAAGAAGTGACTTCCATCATTCCATTGAGGAGAAACAGTCACAAGGCTACTCCTAGAGAGACGAAGAGTTTGGACATGGAGCCACTGCTGGACAGGCCCTTCCACGGTGGCTCTAAGCTGGGAGAAGGAAAGCGAGAGTGTCAGCAAACAGCTGGCCATATGTAAGTCTCCACATTTAGTGTTCTCCTATAAACAGAAGTGCATCAGAAAGTAGGAGAGGAGAAGGGGAAAGAAGGCTTCATCTTAATCTGTATCATTTTGTAGAAAAAAAATTGATGTATATCAAATGTAGATGGAGGAACAGCTCCAGGAGCTATCACCGTAGACGGCTTTGCTATAACGTTAACTAGGTGTGGTAGAGAGGGAGGGATGTGGCTGAGTCTGTTAGAATTCCTCTTTGTGCCCCATTGGTTCTGTGTGGCCCATCAAGTATTTTGTTTATCAAACATTTAATCTTTTCATATTCCTTTGAGTTGCTTTCCTTTTCCTTTGAAGTGTCAGGTCCTACCGGCTGGTTCAGGATGAAGTAATATCTCCTTCTCCCTCACTGTCTTTGGAACCAATGTCCATAAGTAATTAAACTTTGTTGTTTTTTACTGTTAGTCTATCTCATGTGTCAATTTGATTCTTAGACCAGCTAGAAGAACCTTGAAGGGGTAGAGGAAATTTCCTCCTCCCCAGCAACATTAAAAAAATTAGCTGTACGGGGCTTCCCAGGTTTACCTTCTAACCTTTTTCTCCAATCCTCTTCCTGGACCTCATGAACTTATTCTTGTCTCTCCTCACAGCAGACCCCTCATTATCCCTGAATATGTAATGAATCTGCTCCTCTTTCCTTTGCCTCTGCTGTTCCCCCTTGCCTCCAGCTTTGCCCATCCCTTGAGGCTCTTCATGCAGTATTTTTTTTGAGGGGGGAGGGATGGGGAGTGGTGTCAAAACCACACCTGATTTTGGGCCTTGATGGCTTTCAGCTAAAAAACTCTTCGTGTCACAGTGGCAAATCTTGGGGCAGCCTGCCATTGGTCTTCACAATGTCAAATGCATACTATGGGATCTGGCACACAGAGATGGTAAAGAGACTGTGGCTGTGTTTTCTAGCTGGACCCAGCTGTGTGAATTTGGGCTTATCATCTCTGATATTTAATATCTGAACTCTAATTTCTCTACTTGTCAAGTGAGGATAAAATGCAGAATTGAGCTTTAAGTGAAAGACATTGTAATAACTATCTAGCAAGTATTTACTATATACAACTGTTGTGATTTGCATGGATTATCCCAGTTTTTAGAGAATAATGTTATACTTTAGATATTACTATCCATATTTTACCATAGAGGAAACTGAGAAAATAATTTTAAAGTAAGTGGGTAGAGTATGATTAAAACAAAGATCTGTCTAATCCAAAGTCCATGTTTTTAAGCAGTATACATTTATGTCTGGCACATAATACACGTTCAGTAAATGTTAGAAATAATAGTAGTAGTAGCAATAGTTAGTAGTGGTAATTACAGTTTATACATAGGAAAAGGAAATCTAGTGGTGAAAATTGTAGTAACAGTAGTAGTAGTCTATAGAGAAAGAAACAAAGGGTTTTTTTGTTATTGTTTTCATAGAAAAAATAGCATGATCATATTTGAATTCTACAACACAACTTTGGAAGAAGTATATTTAGAAGATGCATTTATAGAGGAGAAAGTTTCTAGAGCTTCAAAGGCCATTTATTTAGGAGGTTATTTCATTTATTTAGGAGGTTATCTCCCTCTCTTTATCTCTATTCCATTTTCATCTCTATCTATCTCTTCTTGCACATACACCAAGGAAAGGACCCCGTGAAAAGGTACCATCTGCAAGCCAGGAAGAGATCTCACCAAAAACAGAATCAACTGATCCCTGGTCTTGAACTCCCAACTAGGAGAAAACAGATGTTGTTATTTAAGCCACCCAGCCTTGGCAGCCCAAGCAAACAGATACATATGAAGGAGTTTGGACCTTGTCGTGTAGGTCAAAACCTTCCAAAGTTCAGTTCCTGGACCATCTGCATTGGGATCTCCCAGAGGCTCTTCCAAATACAGATAACCCACATTCACTGAATCGGACCGTCTCAGAGTGGGGCCTAGGAATCTGCATTTTCTCAAATACAAGGAAGGCAGTGAGGACAGAGAAAAGAGAAAACACACAAAGGAAATAAGAAATGCCCAGGAAATGGTCTTCACTGGTCACTGTCAATGGCTTCCCCAGAAAGTGGGGCTAACCGGCATGAGACTACATTCAAATTGGAAACCAGACCTCTCTTGCCAGATCTGGGGCCAGGGCTTGGATGCAAGGCATGAATGATAAGGGCAAGCCAGGCCAGCAATAGCTCAATAAACCCTCCCCCCAATGGTGGGGGATCTGCTGGTGATGACTGTTCCCAAGACAGGCATGAAGGGTGGGGCACAAAGGCTGGCCTGGGCCAGGGTCTAGCTGTGGCTGCCTCTCCGTGCTAAGGGTTGGGGTTCTGAGTTAACCCCTCAGTAAGGGGCAACATAGACTTGGGGAAGAGTGAGTAGACTTGGCTGATAAAAGGAAGAGAGCCAAGTTCAGACCTTTCTGCTTTAAATGGCCAAATCTTCCCTTTGAGAAATGAATAGACATGAGGGGGTCTCCTTAAGTCCCAGTCGATCCTCTGTTGGATGGGAATTCCATGAGATGAACCCCCAGTTCTGGGTTGAACCTGTGATTTGGCACGATTTGAGTTGAGCAGGAGTCAGTTCGAGTCTTTGCAGCACTGGTATTCCACAGGGATGTATGTATTCAAGCCCTGTCTTCGGTATTTCCAAACGAGGAGCCCTGAGTCAGTTATGCAACTGTCCTGAATGTCAGTCTCTCTTACCTGTAAAATGGGAATTGTATAAGACCTACCTCATAAGGTCATTGTGAGGATTAAATGAGATCATGCATGGACAGTGTTTACACAGTACCTGGCACACAGTTAACACTCAATGTCAACAGCTATTATTTTTATTGTTTTGTTGTTGATATCATTTTCAAAGAATAAGGACTTTCAATAAGGCAGATCTCTGCTTATCCAGTGGGTGTGATACTTTTATCAACTTGCTCAAAAATTCTGAATTTCAGTTCCCTTGTTTTACAAATGGAGGTAATGATTCCAACATGGTAGGCTGTTTCTGAAACCAGTGAGATGATGTATAGAAAGGTGCCTTGCACCCAATCCTAGATCCCACCTTTCAGAAAAGCAAAAGTTCCCATGAATCAGGAATCCCTCCAAATACATCCACAAGCTTCCATTTCTTCTTTAAATGTGCTTTGGAATTCCTAATATGATGGAATGCTCCCTAGGTAAAAATTGCCTTTCTTAGGGACTTTGTTTCTCAATGTCCCTAAAAAGGTGCCAAAAAAGTACCAAGACAACATGCCCCCTGGCTTAACAAGACACCACTTCATGCTTTTCCACAAATCCCATTCCTTTAACACATGGTGTAATGCTTTTGTAATACTTTCAATAAAGACAGCCATAGATCCAGAAAATAAATAAATAACACGATAAAACATGCTGAGTTTGGGTTCAGTTATTAGCCTTGTACAATATACATTTAAGCGGCAAAAATCTCCACCAATAACCCGGAAACTAGCTCAACTCGGTCTTTCCAGAGAAACAAAAATTCTCAGCCCTTACCACCACCTAACCACTTGGACTTAGGAGCTGAGCTTCTGAGTTGAGCTTGACTACCCTCCCCTACATGGGTAAGTCACCAAAGATGCAGACAGCTCTAGGAATCTGTGGTGCAGAGAAAGAGGGGGAACACTTTACAGTTGGAACCACTAGGAGCGTTGAAGCTGTCGGCAGCTAAGAAGCTAAAGAAATTAATTTGCCTCTGTGAAATTGGCACCAGATTTCAAAGGTATTGATGAATCAGCTGTTCCAGACACCTTTGATCTCCAGAAGGGAATCTGTGTATCTAAGAGTTGTTTTCAGGTAAAAACTACCCAGGCATCCTGCCCATCTTCTTGGGAGATTTTAGGCTGGCAGTGCCCTCACAGCCCCCAACAGAATCAACCCCAGATGTTCAGCAGTCAAGGTAAAAAATTCGGACTGCTCTCAATGTTCTGCAGTCCTGAGGAATGGGGAACACAGAGCAAAGTAAAGACCATGGCTTCAGAGTCACAGACCTGAGTCCAAACTCTGGATCTGCCACTTCTCAGGTGTGCAAATTATTGAAACTTCTTGAATCGCGATCTTCACATCTGTGAAATGGGAGCATTGCCTTTCAGGGGTGTCACAAGAATTGAAAGAAATTTTGTGTATGTTTGTGTAAAGCAGAGGTCAACCAATTTTTTCCATAAAGGGGCAAATAGTAAATACTGTAGGCTTTTCAGGGTCTTATAAGCTCCATCCTAAGTACTCAGCTCTGCCATTGCAGTGCAAAAACAGCCGCAGACAATACACATACGAACAGGCATGGCTGTTTCAATAGCCCCTTATTTATGAAAAGAGGCACGATGAATTTTGCCCATGGGCTGCAGTATACCAACCCCTAGCTACAAAGCATGAAGCCCAATGTCTACACAGAGAAGACAATCACTGTATGGTAGCTTTGATGCTGCCGAATGGAGGAGACCCACCAGCCAGTCATTCTGTTGAGTGCTTGTGCACATCCAACCCTATGCTAGACTGTGAGGGAGAAGAGAAGGCATATAGGTGAAGCCCCACCATCAAGATACGGTCAGCAAAAAAGTAAATAATGGGTGAAAAGGAATACAGCAATGGGAAAGTATCCGAAGGATGTCTTTGAAGTCCTGCAACTACATAATATTTTAAATAAAAGGGCTAAGTCCGACGGTGAGCTCTGATTCATCAGACATGTGTGTGTGTGTGTGTGTGTGTGTGTGTGTGTGTGTGTGTGTGTGTGTGTGTGTGTGTGTGTGTGTGTGTGTGTGTGTGTGTGTGTAATGGCCTTAACTCTGGTTCAAAAATCATGCCAGCCCTTTGCTGTGACAGGCAGCATCACATCACAGATTGGTGCAAAGCAGTAACCCAAAATGAGACTCTATTTGAAAAATGCCGCTTTTGGTGTTCATGCTCTTTCCAGAGTCAGAGGGAATAACCAGCGATTTGACTGTTGAAGACCTCCTGTTGGAGCTATTGCCAATATAAGGAAATAAGTACAAACAAAAGGGAGTGAATTGGATTAATTAAGGATATTATCACTTGCTGTTTAATTACCTCCTAGCAGCCGTTCCGAAACTGCTGTCAGATGTTAGCATGTGTGCCCAGAAATAAAAAAAGGAAGGGTCAAATGATCTCAGGAAATGCTCCATCTTTGGATTCACAATTCATATTAACCTGTGAAAGACTCCTTTGAGTACAGAAGCCAAGAATCCCATTTAAATTTGTTACCTTGGGAGGCTGGCTCAGGACTCAGGAAAATATGGGCTTTAATCCCAAAGCTGACCCCAGTGTGGTTGCCTTGGGCACCTTCCTTTAACCTCTCTGTGCCTCAGTTTCCTCCTCTGTGAAGTGGGGATGATAAGGGTCATGAGGGTCAAATGGATGACACACATAGCATGGGTCCTATGGACAGTAAGGGCTTTAAAGAATGATTTTCCAACCTGCATTGACCATATGTTTAGGTCCAGTAGGCTTGGGCAAAGTTTGGACAAAGCAGAGCAAATGGGGAGATGTGAAAAGGAGTGCCTTGCAGGTTAAAGAAGAAGCCCCTTAAGAGCCAGGCTTCTTACCTGTTTGTAGCAGAATATTTGGTGAATAAAGTTTAAGACCGACATGTGTCAGATGCTGGGGCATAGGGGAGTAGACTGAATGTGATCACTGCCACTCAGAAGTTTCTGTTGAGTCACACAAGTTTCTGTTGAGTCCACAGCTCGTGAGTCACTGCCAGAAGCCACTGTCCACATGTTCTAGGCAGATGAAAGCCCAGCTTCCTTCCAAGGCTCTGAAACAGGCGAAAGCCTTTAAGGCCAACACAGACCCCGAGGTAAGAAACAAAAGGGCCGCCAGCAACCTTGTCTGATGGTAGCCGGGCCGGCAGAGGACGTGTATCTGGTCAAAGCTGGAGGCTTCAGCGCTCATTAGCGCTGGGCTCCAGGGAGCCCGCCACCCTTGGGGTCCCTGATGGAGTTGGCAAGGCCCAGGGCATTGCCAGAAAGCTGCCTCGGATCCCAGCACAGAGCGTGGAAATGTGCTGCCTCCTTGGCCCCTGCCCACTTCATCAGTAAGAACTTAGAGAGGGAGAGCGGGAGAGAAAGGCAGGACGGCCTGGCAGTCCCCTAACACAGATCTGTTTCTATAAATACCCACTACCCGATGTGGTGGACGGGGGAGGGATGTTTATCCGGACAGGGAAAGGAGCTCTGGGAAGCAAGGACGAAAAAGGAGGGAAAAGAGAAGGAAAGCAGCAAGGAGGAAGTTCAGAGGAAAAGGAGGGCAGGGATGGGCGGGCTCCGGAGCGGGAGTGGGGGACCCAAGCCACGGATCTTCCTTTGTGGCTGCAGCTTCGGCCTCCTCGCCCAAAAGACGGAGGACGGCATCCAGGAGTGGCCACCGGCCAGGGGCATGGAGACACTCGCTCTTGGACCTCTCCTCTCCCGGCGTCGGAACCGCTCAAGTCCAGTGTTGATGCCCGGGACCTCCCGCACCCCGTCCCCCAGGCCTCCCTCGGGCTCTGTCTCACCATGTGGGCTGCGGCGGCAGCGTTGCTGGCCCGGAGAGGCGGCAGGCTGTTGGGGAGGGCGGGCCGGACCCCACTCCGCTCCGAGGGGGCCCCGCGCCGAGCCCCGGGGAAGCCTGAAGCTGACGAATGGCGCTGTCCCCTTCTCTGCCTGGGAACCACGCGCGGGTGGAGACAAAAGGGGGTCAGGGGGGAGTCACCCAGGCCCCGTCGCCCCGCGCCGCCCCTCTGGGCAGCAAACCCCGCTCTCCCTACGACAGAGCCCCAACTGTAGAAACCGCCGTCGGGGGGGGGGGCCGACACGGCGCCTGGGACGCGGATCCCCAACGCGCACCCACGGGCGGTGCTCGGGCAGCTGCAAAGTTCAGTAGGGCCCAAGCGCGTGTTCGCGACCCCGCGGGCCGGAGCTCGGAGCCCCACGTTGCAGGCCGGGAAAAGGACTGGACTGCAGAGGGCGACGGCCCAGCCAAGCCCGGGCGGGAGGAGGCCCGGGGCCGTCCCCGCCCGGCAGGCTCGGAGGCCTCCACTAGCAGAGCCTAGGCGAGGGCGCGCCGTCCGACCGGAGCTCCCCGCGCTGCCCCGCCGCGGCGCAGACTTTGTTCCAGCTTCGGCGGGCAGCGACGCCCGCGCCTCGAGGGTGGCCCGGGGCGGGAGAGCGGCGCGGAGGCCCCGGCCCTCCTTACCCGTCGGGTAGGCGGCGGGAGCGGCGGCCGAAGGTTTCCTGGTTAACATGGCCGCTGGAGGAGAAAATGCATTTCAGGGCTGCAGTCTCCGCCGCTGCCGCCGCCTCGTCGCCCCTCTCGCGGGTCTCCGGTGCCTCGTCGCCGCCTCGCGTCAGCTACAGCCGGACACACACAGTCCGCTGCATCCCCTCGGTCCGGGCCCGCCGCCGCGAGCCCCGCGCTCTCCTCGCCGCCGTCATCCTCTCTTCCTCGGGCGGCTGCAGCAACCCCCGGCCCGAGCACATGCTTTGCCCTCCCCTGCGCGCCGCTGGCCTCCCCGATTCCCTCACATAGGGAGCGGAGGAGCGGGCTGCGCCGCGCAGACCCACTCGCTCGGAGCCTCCTCCCGGGATCGCGGGCGCGCACGCGCACGCGCACACTCGCTCTGGCGCGCGCCGGGACGACAACCCCGCCTCCACTCCGCGCCACCGCGGGTGCAGGCCCCGCCCCCAGACCCCAGCCTCCCCCGCTCAGGCACACACTCGGGCGTACACCCCGCCCGCACCCAGCCGCCCACAGAAGTCCCTCCCCGCGGCCCAATCATCTGCATGGCCACCCCTCCACTCCCCGGAAAACTGCAGCCTCTGCTCGCCCTCTGCCCCCCCCCCCAAATCCCCTCCCGGCATCTGCACCGCCCACCTCGGCTCCCCTACTAACAACCTTTCCCTCTCCAGCCTCCAGCCCCCGCAGAACCCCTCCTTTTCTCTACCGCGCAACCTACCGCTCCTCTCCTAGCGAAATCACTGCAAGACCTCTCGTCTTCCATGCGCGCCCCCAAACACAAATTATTGCAGCTTTTCGAACCTAATGGCTGCTCACAAACAATACCACCCGCCTCCCCGGTCCCAGTGGCACATCCACCCCCAATTTATCATCTCAATAACTTAGTTGTGCAAGAATCACCTCGGTAAGTCAAGTCCAGTAGAGGGCCGCAATTTAGCCCGGTGACCCCGCGTGTAGGCGAAGGAGGGAACTGCCCTCCCACCTCCACCTCCACCACGCACACCCACCCCGATTTACTGACACCAAGTGACCGCTCTCCAATCGCTAGGACAAGGGGAGGCAGAGGCGCGTGTGGACTGCTGCTGGGGAAGCTGTTGGCTGCGGGTTGCTAGGAAAAAATAAACATCGGAGACACCTCCCATTTCCTTACAACTCGTAGCCTTTCCCTGGCGCGGCCACTGGGAGAGCCACACCTTCCTTTCAGCTTTCTTGAGGTCAGGGAGTGACACCTAATTCTTCTCATTCCCAGAGACAATTCTCTGTCCTTCCAAAACAAATGAATAATTTCCCTTCCTTTTAGTTTGTCATCTACAGCCTCTCTTTCCCTTGCAGACTGAAAAGTTGCTTGGCCATCTCACAACCCATGTCCCATTGTGTGCGGCCGCCGCCTTTGTACAAAGGTCACAGATTTTGTCACTTCAGCAGTTGTGGGGACGCTGGGGGGAGATGGGCAATCTCGGATGAGGGGGCCGGGCAGAGAGCTATGCCGTGCACGTCCTTCCTGAGACAGGCCCGGTTTGACGTTCTCCTGGGGACCTGGGTACATTACTCTCGGGTCCCTGGCTGGACGAAGTATGCAGACCGGTATTAATTCAGACTCAAATCAGAAGGGGGCCATCTCCTGCGGAGTCCCATCACCCCTACTGTTTGCAAATTGCCACAGCAGCCTCCCAAAGAGATCACCCATAGCTTTTTGCAAATGCCAAAAACGGAATTTTTCAGAGGTAGAGTGTGTCCTGCTCAGAGCCTCCAGGGATCCTGCAGGGGCATTAAGGATAGACAGCATTGACTGAGGGGGCAGGTGACAAAGAGTGAAATTTTGCCTAGTAATATGTCTCTCCACAAAATCCTTTTGGTGCCTTCTCCTAATAAAGCAGAACCACAGTGAAATAATGAATCCAATAATATGCCTTTAGAGGGATGATGACCTGATTAGGTCCAAGCAAGAAACAGGCCCCTTTGCTTGTCATCACAGGCTGCAGCCTTCAAATTCACTTGGGAAACATACTTAGTGTTGTGAATTAACTAAAAGAGCTACTTTGTGGCAGAGATGAAGCTAGAACCCACTTGCTGACTCCCAGTCTAATTTCACTATGCTTTCTCTATCTTGGATTTGTGAGAACCTCTGACCTCTTTCCTTCTTTTCTCTTCAAAAACAATTATTTTCATACTGTTTTCCTTTTTAAATGAGTGCTCTATACAACTGAAGTTCAAATATAAAATTTGAAGCAAAAAATTCTATTTTAATGTAACTTGACACTGCTTTTCCCTTGTTATTCTTACAATATTTAAGTAGAAGCTAAATATGCTACTGCTGTTTCATGAATTTTAAAAAATGCCATTGAAAATCATAGCTTGTGAAATCCGAATCGGTAATATTAATCCACACGTTAAGCATGAGGAAAAGGAACACTTTTTTAAAATAAAGGGACACAAAGAATCATTAACTTTAATCAAAGAAAGAAAAAGATACGTTTTAGAGAACTCTTCCTAGTATATTGTTTATGACATGACAAGTATAATTTCAGTTTTGATTTTTTTTTCTTTCTGACAGTCGGGAAAATTTGTAATTAATCCAATCTTTGGGTCTTTTAATTATACATGGTGCACTTTTCAAAATTATATTCTTACTGACCTCAAAGTTAGTATTCACAGCTGCTTGGATTTCCCTCATTCTGTTTAATTTTGATGACCTCAACATCATATATATATATATGTATATATATATATAT